GTGAAAAAAATGCACTTTTAGTGGACGTATTTTGACGTTGTTTGACGCTGTCTGAGTGCCCTATTATTTAATATAGCGCGCGCTCACGGGCTGCAGGCAGGTCAGCCCTAGCTTCATACTGGAGAAATGTCACATATTGAACATCCTATCACTCATTTAGACAAAAGCAGATCTGAACATAGGGCCCAGGTTGAAAAAAACATTAGTTTCCCTTTAAACCGGCCCACTTTTTACGGTGGAGGAATTTGAATAAATGAAGCATCAGCTTAACTTTTTCTGTCCCTTTTTATTGGGTATTCAGGATAAAGATGGACCACTTAACAGAAAAATAAACACTTCACTTAAACAATTTGTTGAATTAGAATTAAATAAAAAGTGCATGATGTAGCCTACTGGCCGATTCAACGTAAATCTTAGTGGGAATGTTTAAAAAGTCCACATTTACCTTGGCTCTGTCCTCGAGAAACAAGTCTGTCAGTTTAGCATATTCAGCAGCATCTTCTTCTACTGCCTTCCTTTTCTTAATCTTGGCTTTTTCGGCACCTCCTGGCCTCATCTTGCCTATTCTAGGTTCTACCCTTGTTGCTTTGATTCTACCGCGGCGCAAAGGACGATTCATGTGCCATACTAACTCATACATATATGTCTTATATACAAGACATAAAAGTAGACCAGCCCACCGGGATTCCCCGCGTCTTTCCCTATGAGCAATGCCGGCTTTGTTCAACAGAACAATCTTTGATCTACTGCTGTTTCAAGATAATGGGCCGCCCCCACGAAGAGAAGCCGAGGCCAGCTGTTCTTCTCAATCACAAGAATAGGATGGACCAATGGAAGGATGGACAAACAGACAGACAACTCAAAAACCGACGCCCCCATAACAGAGGGGCTGCAAACTACAGTGGCCGATGCCGAAACATGAATGTCCCTATCTATAGCCAGTGTTTGGTTTGTCCATTCTGGGCTACTGTAGAAACATGGCGGTGCAAAGTGGCAACCTCTGTAGACGAGGACCTGCTCCCTGTGTAGATATAAACGTCTCATTCCAAGGTCACGAAAACACAACAACTCTTATTCTCAGGTGATTATACACTAAATAAAACACACTTATTATATTATATTCCATTTCTGCCGATATATCCTCCTAAATGCTCCACTCTGGACCTTTAAGTACAGTTTTGAATGCAGGACTTGTGCTTGTAATGGAGTACTTTAACAGTCTGGTATTAGTACTTTTACTTTGGTACATGACTGCTGAACATCTGAACACAAACAGCTGGCAGACACCAACATGCTCACAGTCCCTGACTTCACCAAGCTGTCAAAGACCAGCCTGCAATGGATTGTGGGATACTGTCCAAAACACACACACACACACACACACACACACACACACACACACAGAAACTCCTTGATGTTTTGTTGGATTCGATTCCTGATTGGAGCTTTAATAAAGACACAAAGAACCTTTGATTGACTGTCGCCGTGTGTGTGTGTGTGTGTGTGTGTGTGTGTGTGTGTGTGTGTCTCCATCTGCCTGTCTAAGACAAACTGTAAGGAAAGTGCTTTCATTGACACACACACACACACACACACACACACCCACAGAGTGATTCTGAATAGAAGAAGGTTTTTCTTTAATGAGAGTGAAATTTAAATCCTGGACATTGTGCTGCTTTTAGACCACAGCCAAGACGCGCAGGTTTTCCTTCACACACACACACACACAGACACACACACACACACACACACAGAGTACAGTGATGTAATGGTTTTGCCAGGGCTGTCTGGTATCGAGGCCGGTCACCTGCTGTGAGGTGAAATGGACTTGAATTAGTTTTAGTGTTTCTCTTCAACAGGAGTTTACACTCAGAAAGAAACACTGAAACTTCTCTGACACTTTTATTAAAGGACCAAACCGAAGAGTTTTTCAGCACAAATCACAAACTTTTGACTGTTTTTCCGAAGCGTAACGTTCAACTGAGCTGCCATAACAACAGAGGGGATTAACTGATGATAAAAAATAATAGATTTTACAGAGACGAGAATGATTTGATGTTTGATTTGATAAACTCACAGCTGTTTGGGACTTAACTTTGGAAGAACCTGATGTACATGTGACAGGTCAATGATAAACTGTTGAATTGTGATGAACGGCAGATGTTTACTAAATCTTGTTTTTTATCATTTGTTGAGTTCCACCTATTTTATTATTTAAAGTCAACAAGGTGTGTTTATGTGTTTCTTCTCACAAGAACCACTGAAATGTCTTCATGTATCTAGAACTCCTAATAGAAACCTTTCAACCCTTAAAACTTCTCAAAAGCTCCCTGAAACCTCCACATGGATGCCTGATGTCTCCATCATGGATCTCTGGTACCGCTCCAGGACCCTTGGAACTTCTCATGAACTCCAGGAATCTGTACACGTACCACTCGAACAGGCACGTCACATCTCCTCAACAACACTTAGAACATGTATCCTCTTGAACTACCTGAATAAGTTCCTCAAGAACACCTTGATTATTACTGCATGAATGAGTTTGTGTTTATTCAAAGACAGTGTGAAGAAGGCCTAAATTCAGAGTTCCCTCACATTTTCATGAACTAAATTTCCTACTTTTTCCATGACTTTTCTGGGACCCACTATATACACATTTTTTCTTGTCCATAATTGTAATTTCAGCTATTCGGCATGTATGGAGAAAGAGATGGAACGTAGGGAGAAAATGGAGAAACCTTGCGATGGTAAGCAAACATAACACACTGGCCTGTACTTGAGCTACCTTACTGCCACAGCTTCAGGAAATCTTCCTCAAGAAACGTTCACACCGCTTCACCAACCACTGGACCCCTTTCAAATGCTGCAGGAACCTCTTTAAGGAGCTCTGAAATCCTCAAGCCTCCTCCAGAACCACTCTGACCTCTTAGTGACTCTAATTTTTTTTTCTAAGAAAATTTCTTCAAAAAGGACCCGACACATTCTCAAGAACCAGTGTGACCCTCTTTGAGTGTTTCAGAAAAACCTGCAGATCATTAAAATACTTTCAGACCTCTTCAAGAACCACTGGAACTTCTTTAAATGCTTAAGGAACCTCTATACGGAGCTCTGAAACGTTCTGAAGGAATTTTCAAGCCTCTTCTAGAACCACTGGAACTTCTTAATGAACCTGATTTTTCCAAAGAAAATTTCTCCAAGAAAGACATGAAACATTCTCAAGAACCGGTGGAACCTTTTCCAGTGCTCAAGGAACTTCTTTAAGAACCTGCAGTTCTTCAAGAAACTTTCAAACCTCTTAAAGAACCCCTGGAACTTCTTCAAATGCCCAAGGAACCTCTTTCTGGAGCTCTGAAATGTTTAAAAGAAATTCTCATGCCCCCTCCAGAACTGCTGGAACTTCTTTATGACCCTATTTTTTCTTCAAGAAACTTCTTAAAAGAACCAGTGGATTTGGGAGCCTCCTCCAGAATCACTGGAACTTCTTATAACCCTGACTTTTCCAGGGAAAATTTCTCCAGATCTTCAAGAAACTTTCAAACCTCTTCAAGAACCACTGAAACCTCTACAGATGCTCCAGGAACCTTTTTAAGGAGTTCTGAAATATTCTAAAGAAATTCTCGAGCCTCCTCCAGAAGAACTGGAACAAGCCTGTTTTTTCCTAAAACAAAAACTTCAAGAAGGGCCTGATGCATTCTCAAGAACCAGTGGAACCTCCTCCAGTGCTCAAGGAACCTCTTTAAAAACCTGCAGATCTTCAAGAAATCTCTTTAAGAACCACTGGAACTTTTTCAAATGCTGCAGGAACCTCTTTAAGGAGCTCTGAAATGTTCTAAAGAAATTCTCGAGCCTCCTCCAGAACCACTGGAACTTTCTATAACCCTGTTTTTTTCCCTAGAAAACGTTTTTAAAAAGGACTTGAAACATTCTCAAGAACCAGTTGAACAGTACTCCAGGTATCTCTTTAGGAACCTGCAGATCAAAACTCTTCAAAAACCACTGTTACTCTTTTAAATGCTTAAGGAACCTCTATACGGAGCTCTGAAACATTCTGAAGAAATTTTCGAGCCTCCCCCAGAACCACAGGAACTTCTTAACAACCCTGATTTTTCCTAAAACTAGAACTTGAAGAAGGACCTAAACATTCTCAAGAACCAGTGGAACTCTCTTCCAGTGTTCCAGGATCCTCTTTAAAAACCCGCAGATCTTCAAAAAACTTTCAAACCTCTTTCGAAACCATTGAAACTTCTTCAAATGCTCCAGGAACCTCTTTCTGGAGCTCTGAAGTGTTTTAAAGAAATTCTCAAGCCTCCTCCAGAAACACTGGAACTTTCTATATCTCAAGTTTTTTTCCGAAGAAAACTTGAAACATTCTCAGGAACAAGTTGAACATCTTCCAGTACTCCAGGTACCTCTTAAAGAACCCGCAGATCTTCAAGAAACTTTCAAATTTCCAAGAACCACTGGAACTTCTTCAGTAGCTCAAGAAACCTTTTTCTGGAGCTCTGAAATGTTTAAAGAAATTCTCAAGCCTCCTTCAGAGCCACTGGAACTTCTTAATTACTCAGATTTTTTCCTAAAACAAAAACTTCAAGATGGACCTACACATTCTCAAAAACCAGTGGAACCCTGTTTGGGTGTTCAAGGTACCTCTTTAAGAACCTGCAGATCTTCAAGAAACTTTCAAACCTCTTTAAGAACCACTGAAACTGCTAAAAGTTCTCAAACCTTTCAGCCCTCTCTCTCTTTGCTTCCTTCACTGTCTTTCTCACTTTCTTTATTATCTCACGTCTTCATATCTTCTTAACCTCCATATAAACAACAGTACAAGACATGCGCGCGCGTTGCAGCAGAGCGCGAGAGACGTAAACAGAGGCAGAGCGGACAGGTGCTCCGTTTCTCACGACTGTATAACATGCCCGCACGCGCACTTACGCACGCGCCCACGCACGAGTAGCTGCTCGTTAACCACGTGCACATTAGGAGCAACAGGTAGGACTTACAGGTAAGACGTGAACACGCTCAGGTTGCTCGGTATCTCCCGGAGCCCGAGGTCCGAGCAGTCCACCCGGTGCAGCAGCCCGTCCACCTCGCACCGACAGCGGCCAGGGCAGCCAGCCCGCCCCGCTCCTCTGTCCCCGTCCTCGGAGCTCTCCGCCCTGACCACCGCGGAGCTGTTCCCCGCTGCCGCCGCTGTCCTGTCCTCCTCCACGGCCACGGAGCTCTGCATCTCCACCGCGGCCACGGAGCTCCTGGACCCGGCCGAGAGGACTGCAACCGCGGCCAACAAAGCCACAAACCCCGGCATGTCCTCCGGGGCTTCTTCTCTCCTCAGAGGCTGAAAATTTAGGAAGAGTAAAAAGACAAAGTTGCAGCTGTGGATCCGGATCACGGTGTGTTCGGGTCCGCTCACCGTCAGATCAACTCTTTCTGGACTGAGAGAATAAAAGTCAGGAAAATAAAGTCCGAGCTGTTTGAGTCTGCAGGTTGGTCTGTGTCCAGGCTGCACGCGTGGAGCAGCACAGCCGGAGTGTGTGTGCGTGTGTGTGTGTGCGTGTGTGTGAGAGAGAGTCCCTCTACTCACAGTACGACAGGGTGTCAGCCCCGTTTACTTTTATATACCCTCTGTCTGTCTGTCTGTCTGGCTGTCTGTCTGGCTGTCTGTCTGTGGGCACAGCCTGTTTCAACAACACGAGCCACAAAAATATCAAAAATTAAAAAAAGCTGAATGAATTCATACAAATAAATAAATAAATAAACACCAAATAAAGGAATAAAATTAACAATTTATCAGGAATATTTTTTTTACATTTCATGCAACAAATTCAAGTTGCTAATACTGTATATAATGATAGTTTAAATGAGTTTGTGCAGTTCTGGAAGAAGTTTTCACACAGTGGTCAAAGTATTAATACCAGGGGCGTAAATATAAGACAGTGCAGGCAGGGCAACTGCACCGGGGCCCATCGCATGAGGGGCCCATAAACATGGTGTTGTACCCACCCACCCCTTCCCTTCCGTCCACCCGACGCAGACTTTCACCACCTTAACTTTCGTCCTCGTCCCGCTGTGTTTCCCCCTGACACCAACGAGTGTCGTTATCTATAACAGCAACCAGCTGCATATCATGCCGACATTAAAGGACGCTTTTTTCCGTTTGTTCTGATGCTCCAAGTCACTGCCCAAGTGCCGGATTTCAGTGACTTCAGAGTGAGACCCGGCTCGTCTTCAGATCCTTAAAAAGTCTTAAATTCTTTTAAATTCAGATTTGATGGGTCTTAAATATTTTCGGTCACATTACCGTGAGAATGTCTCCAGCCTGACAGACACAATGTTTACAGTCATTGCACAGCCAGAAGAATTGTAATAATAAATATCATTTATGACAGTGATGAGATTTTGATTTCTTTCTACATAAAACACATTAAACTTAAATTCATCTATTTGTTGTCATGTTTCCTTACTGTTCATTTTGAACTGACATCAGTGTGTTTACATTCCACGTTTTTCTCCTCACTGACTTGGTCAATCCATGTGAAATTTGGCACAGTGGTAGAGGGTCATGGGAGGATGCCAATGAAGCAATATTACATCAGTTGGCCAAAGGGGGGCGCTATAGCAACCCATTGAAATGTCAAACTTTGAATGGGCATATCTCATGCCCCGTATGTGGTAGAGACATGAAACTTTGCACAGAGATGCCTCTCCTCATGAGGAACACATTTGCCTCAAGAACCCATAACTTCCGCTTATATAGATTTTCCGCCATTTTGAATTTTTTGAAAAACACTTCAAATGGATCTCTTCCTAGGAAGTTTGAGCGATCTGCATGAAACTGGGTGAACATAATCTAGGGACCAATATCTAAAGTTCCCTCTTGGCAAAAGTTGGAAAACTTACTAAAACTGAGCTTCTATAAGGCAATGAATATTGCGGAGGGCGTGGCTCATCACATAAAGGTGTA